TCCAGTTTTTATAAGATATCTGATATCTTACATACTTTATGAGATAGATTTTGCCACTGATTGGCAAATGATAAATAGTTAATTACTATTTAAGCATCATGTACTAACAATGTAATATTAAAACTAAGGATACACATGCAAATGATTATATCCTCAATATTCAGTCGTCATTTCAATTTTATCAATTAACATATGTGAACAGTGTAGTTACATATACGTACAATTTTTGTTTATTTGTCAACAAAACAGAGTCTGTTGGACGAAATGGCTAATAATTTTTTTTCATTTATATCTTTTAAAATAATGTTATAAAGGGTCACTTATATCAAACATTCTTATTCATTTTTCTTTGTTTTAGGAGTATTCAATCATCAAGTATAACAGAACCTGCAATGTTCAGTTTTATGAAGTAAATGTAAATGAATGTCAGCATACGTTTTGAATGGAAAAGAAACTGAGCAAACAAGGATTCTAGGATTAAATGCCTTATTATTTTCTTCAAACCATTTGTTATGGAACTGTGCGTGACAATTCTCCAATTATTCAATTGTAACATTTGTATAATTGCTTTGCAACCAAAGTTTTTGTTATAAATAATAGATATAAGAATATGTGGTATGAGTGCCAATGAGACAACTATCCATCCAAGTCACAATTCGTAAAGTTAACCATTACAGGTTAAAGTACTGCCTTCAACACGTCCTATTTTACCGACCACTATAAAGTGAGATATTCTTTTTTCGATTAGAACATATGCACCCATTCTCGTCCAATGGAAAATCAGTATTTTTCCTTTTTTTTTTCATAGAACATGGCTTAAAATGCACTTTAAAATGCTATACATGAATGACTTTTCATTGTAGATTAATTATGAAAGTGAACTCTTTAAAACTGCCCAATGTGTACAATCCCTCAAGGCAATTTCAAAAGGAAAGAGCCAAACAAAATAATGAGTACAGTTGTTTGTCTAATTATTATAAATGAAATTAGGAGAATAGAACTATAAAGCTATAAAAGCATTTTTAGTTGCGATTTTAACATTGTAGATGATATTTAATGGTACATAGATAGACCCTTCCGCATAAAAAAAAAAGACAAAAAAATGAAATTGAAAAGGAGGCAAAGGTGTCGGTAAAATACATGTAGTATTGAATCTAATTTTATATGAGACCTTAAAATAAATGATTTTAGAATCAATGACTGTTGATAAAAAAAGAAAGTTTTTGAGAAAAAAAACCAATATATTCATCAGTAAAAATATTAATAATGAAAAAAAAAACAAAAAAAAAAACATTAAAAGGAAAACAAGCATCTGACGAGGAAACGATTGTAAATTAAAATTCATTGATGCAGTTTTTTCATAATTAAAAAATTATACAATTCTAGAAAAGATGATTTATATAACATGTATAACATGGTGTGCTTTTTAAAACAAAGGAATTTTCGATATGTATAATATTAAATTGTACCTGAAAAAGAAGACATCTCCATTTTTGAAAAAAAAATCCTTTTTCATTATCACCATCTCTTTGCTCTTTCATTCCATTGATTGAAACGACCATTAAAACACATCCCTTTTACTAACCATGTTAACATTTAAAGTAAGGTAATATCAAAATTTGATTATGACAATGAGAGGCTAAATAAACTCATCATAGAAACAAGGATGGAAAATTTGTATTTGCGTCAGAAAAGCGTTTCTAATTTTGTTATGTCACTCGAGAGCGTGAATATGTCCTTAATTGGTCAGACAATACTTGGTAATGTTTTTTGAGCATTTAAAATCCTGGAATACGCCTCAGACTTTACGTATTCATAAAAATGACCCAGTATTGTCTAAATATAATTCGTTCAGGTTTTAATACGCACTACGACTCATTTATACATTAAATGTGAAATACAACTCACTGATTATAATTTGGATATACACTTTAGAAATCATTATCTAGTTACAAAAAAAATATTATTGTAACTGCACGAAGCAAGACACAAATGAATTTTTACGGTGTATGCAAAATACAAGTCACTTTGTTAGTAATTTATCGTATAACTTAATTTATGAAAGGGGTATGGTCTTATTTTTATTTTTTATACTTTTTTATAGCGGAAAGCAGATTATTTTTCAACAATTTTCGAACGAACTTTTGCAAATAATTGTTTTCCCCTCTTTGTTTGACAATACATGTGATTAAACCGAGAATCATAATTAAATCTTATACCCGCACAAATCCAATTTTGAAGTATTTGGTTGCATTTCTATAGAATATAAGATTATTTTGTCATTTATTCATTTGATGGAATAAAAGGTATTATAGATAGAAGTAACAAGTAAAGAACGGCTCGAAAAGAGCACAAAATTGAGATACATGTACATGTAACACAGCGGCAGAATAATCAGACAGTTGATTACAGCTGTTCAACTGGAAGATGAAGAAGAAGACGAAATTTAAGTATGGTTTCCACTAAACGTGAATAAATAAGATTTTAAAAATCCTTCACCCGAATGTGTCAAATCTGTTTTTTTTTAAAGTGCTATGAAAACTTTGCATTATCTAATTCATCTCGCATAATGTCCCTTTATTGTAGCAAAAATGTAAAGAAGACATCACATTATTTACTTCGAAAGTTAGAATGTGCGTCAACGACAATTTTTGTTATTTCAGTCAAATAAACTCAGAAAAAATAAAAGATTTTTTCCGCCTTTAATCTAACAAACGCAGAAAATAAAAAATAAACCACAATAAACTACAACACACAATAACTATAAACCGAATTACATGTTAAAGTATATTATAGTTTGCATTTTAAACAGCGAAAAAAAAGACCTAAAATAGAGAATTACGTTATGCCTTGTTTGAAAGAAAATAACTCCATATAGGTATAAAAGTCGGTCTGACAAATGTTAAAAAATTGGATTAGCAAATTGGATGGCATGATCAATATAAATGAAAATAATTATACATCACTTTAGCAGCTCAACTTATTTTTCACGTGTATTATAGTTTGCATTTTAATTAGCGAAAAAAAGACCTAAAATAGAGAATTATGTTATGCCTTGTTCTGAAAGAAAATAACTCCATATGGGTATATAAGTCGGTCTAACAAATGTTAAAAACTACATTTTCAGTTACTTTTTCCACTAACACAAAACATAACAAACTTTTTAAAAATCTTTGAAAATATCTACATGCATTTAATTTGTATTTACTTTATGCTATGCAAATATCAATATTTGAGCTTCTTTAATACTATGGTCAATTTTTATAGACTGAAACACATGCACACATCTCGATTAATTATTCATAGGACTGTGTTTTGTTCCTTTGACAGCTTGGCATTTATAAATGAATAACGTATAGCTTCACATATGAAACTGCCCAAGTTAAAGATTTTGCGAATATCATTTTTACATTTGACGGTTAACCGCGATCTTTAAAGACTGCTCACAGTGGGTAATATTAAAACAGTAACGGTTGAATTAAGTATACGGCGGTGATCACCAATATATATGCAAATTTAAATGTATTCTTTATACATATTTTTTTAGGGCCTCGGTGGCCGAGTGGTCTAAGTAGTTACTACTGTAATCACTAGCCAGTCAACACTGAGGTTGTGAGTTCGAACCCCGCTCGTGCGTGTCAATCATAACTGACTAGGATTGTCAGTTTTCCTATCGAAAGTCGGTGGTTTTCTCCGGGCACTCCAGCTTCCTCCACCAATAAAAACTGACCACCACGAAATAGTCCAAAAGCGGTGCTTAAAAGTGGCGTTAAAACACCAAAAATCAAATCAATTATACATATTTTTTTTTTTGAAATTGATTTCAAGGTTTGTTAATATTTCGAAATTTCATAAGCATATTCATTATGTCTTTGAGTACTTGGCAACTCAATGTAACTGTATGATACCTTTAACTCACAAACACGTTTGTAAACATTTTAAGCAGAAAAGTACGAAAGGTTAATTCTTGTAGTTTAAATTTGTGATAATAAAGATTTTCATGCTTTGATAAGGGAACTTTTTAAATGACGGTTAATTCAAAATGATATTAAACATAATAACATAATATAAGAAGAAGTTGTATGATTGCAAATGAAAAAAGAAATAGAAAAGACATCAACCTTTGATAACCACTGATTTACTGCTTCTGGCCTACGGAGTGCATTTATAGAATATGGAGAGGTAAAACATGATAGGAAGCGACCAGCCCTCTACAAACCTTGGAAAAAGGCGAAACAATACAACTTAAGAAAAACTATAACAAGCATTTGAAAAAGGCTTGTCAAATTGTATTAAAGTAACTATTTTAAAGAAATAAGAAGATGTGATATGAGTGCCAATTAGACAACTCTCGATCTAAGCCAAAATTTATAAAAGTAAACCATTATTGATCAAATAAAATTGAGAATAGAAATGGGGAATATGTCAAAGAGACAACAACCCGACCAAAGAGTAGACAACAGCCGAAGGCCACCAAAGTATACATTGTGATTATTCAATGTATGTATACATTGTGATTATTCAATGTATGTATACATTGTGATTATTCAATGTATGTATACATTGTGATTATTCAATGTATGTATACATTGTGATTATTCAAAGGACATTCTTAAGTATTTTGATTAGGGACTCTACGTTTTGAATATTCATTGGAGTTCAGTATTTTTGTGATTTTACTTATTTTAAAGGTTAAAAATGTAAGTTATTTTAATATTGCTTCAATAAATGCTAAAGGAGACAAGATTTTTAAGATATCACTATTCAGAGTTTGTAAAAATACTTCGCTTTTTCATGTTTTTGGCACCTATATCCTGAACGATTATCATCGACTACGAATGGAGAACATACATTCTTATGCAAATATAGATATGCATATTTAAACACTCTCTAAACTCAAAATTATTTTAGTTAACTGAAATGAAAATTGAAATGCCAATTTCATATCATGCGAGACGATACTAAATATATATTATGTTACTCGTTCATTGTCTTCACAGGACACTTCAGATTCTAAAACATGCTATGAAGCTTTTGAAGATGACGTAAGCATCCCGAATGACACCAAAACAGAAATCAAAGAAGAATGTGGAGAATTGGATATTGCTTATGTTAAGGCTGTTCATTGTAACACACGTATGCTTTTTTTGTTTCAATTCAATCGACCACTTTATGATAGAGTTTCCGAAGAAATGAAGTTCTTGGATGCTCCTCTTAAATGTATTCAAAATAGTTGCAACAAACGTGTTGCAAACAACAAACTACCAATTAATCTAGCAGTCCTGCAAAACAACAAAAAAAAATAAAAATATGAAAAAAAAAAAAAAATACCAAGCACACATTTTCATAAGTTAACCTGTTTGTAAAGCTAGCTAACTTCCCACTTGTAAAACGGTTGTTCATAGTTCGGTTATATTGATAAAATTTAGTGAGCAAGCCAAACAGATATAATTAAGGTTAATGTGACAATTCTTGGGACCCACCATCTGAAACTTTGCAAATAAACTCATCATAGATACCGGGATTGAAATTTTGTATTTGCGCCTGACGGACGTTTCGCCTACAAAAGACTAATCAGTGACGCTCGAATAGAAAAAAAGTAAAAAAAGGCCAATCAAAAAACGAAGCAGAAGAGCATTGAGGACCAAAATTTCTTAAAAGTTTTGCCAAGATACAGCTAAAGGTAATCTATTCCTGAGGTAGAAAAGCCTTAGTATTTCAAAAATGTAAAGTTTTGTTAACAGTTAATTTATGATTATGACCATATCAATGATAATTCATGTCAACACAGAAGTGCTGACTACTGGGCTGGTGATACCCGTGACAAGGTGAATGGCCCCTACTAGTAAACCAATCATATTCCATAATTCATACAAAGTTGGCCCTCACTTTATTTTTCTTAATTTCATCCGAACCTTATTTAGTCCGGGATATTCTACAGTAAAAAGATGTTTTCTCCGTGCGTAATGACTGACTTTGGTACTTCGAAATGACTACCTAATTCAGGATCTATTTTAGCCATTTCACTTTTTACTTGCAGAACACGGCATCCAAAAAAGGTCATGTTGTTATTATAACTACCTTGGTCGATGTTACAGAATGATAGGATGGTGGGTGTACAGATATTATATCTGCTGGTACACAGTCTTTAGATGCTATTGATTTGGAAAATGTGAGTGCTTCTTCATAGATTCAGTACTTTTGACTTTTCGCAACTTTTTTATTACTATATCAAGATTCCTAAGACACTTCTGTATGGCTTACTACGCTATATATTTGAAAATGTGTTTGTCAGTGCGTCTCTCACGGATTCTGTGTTATATCTAAAAGACAAATTTCAGATCTGATTGTGTTTGTTTAAAATAAATAAGGTTTTTTTTCTCAAATGTTTAAATCATACTTGGGAAAAGTAAAATAACTAGAATACCGAACTCCGAGGAAACTTCAAAACAAAAAGTATCTTATCAAATGATGTAGAAAATAAAGGATTAAATCTGGTTTTATATCTGTCGAAACCTCTCACTTGAATGACGCATTAAACCTGCTTTCATAGATAGCTTTACCTCTCATTTGTAAGACGAATGTTTAATTCAAACTATAATTGTTACCTTTTACAAATAAAAATGAAACAATCATAATCTTATCTTCATTTTATTTACAAAATACAACTGGTTAGAACATGTAGAAGGTGTACTCGAACGTGCGGAAAATGGAAAATCTCTATGAACGTACTTTTTGCAAATTAACGAAAAGAAAACTTTGAAAAAATTTTAAAACTGTATATAGCACGAAAAGGTCAGAACAGAGAACATCCCACCCCAAAAACAAATAAAACATGACATTTTTGAGCTAGCTATAAAGCAGATATTAGTTTTTTTTTTAGTGGATTTTCATGGTAATCACAACGAATTGAATTCATCAATGATGTAACTGATAGCAATTCATTTGAAGGAAACAAACATATTATCTCATAATTGCATCTGTTATTACTTACACCGGTATACACATTGCACCTTTCATACACAAACTCCCAAAATATAAGAGAATAGCCAACCAGTTGACAATAGACATTTAATAACAACGAAAAAGAAACAAGTGGTATGATTGCCACTGAAACAACTATCCACTACAGGAAAAATGACGTTGATGTATAAACACCATAGGTCACCGTACGGCCTTCAATCATGATCAAAACTCATTTCGTATGTTCAACGTTAATTGATCCTGACATGACAAAATGTGAAACAGTCAAAGGAGGAAACACAACAGTAAAAATTTTAAAAGCAGATTTCCATAACTGCCCTGACTTCACAAAAATATCCTTAATAGCATAGAATATACATAGTATTACGAAAAAATATGCTATACTCCTTGTGAACCCGTTTCAAATGAAATACACATCTTCTTTGTATTCCTTAAATAAACATTTAAAACACATCACTGCAATATATTGTTTTTTGTTCACCTTTTGTTTCCCACAACAAAATATAGATTATCTAACGTTTGTATTTCTTTTAAGTTGTATATTAGCCATTCAATTACATATAACATGGACATTTGGACCCCCGTTTTGTAAAATCAAAATGAAGGCTAATTTAATTAATGTGGAGCAGGATCTGCTTACCCTTCCGGAGCACCTGAGATCACCCCTAGTTTTTGGTGGGGTTCGTGTTGCTTAGTCTTTAGTTTTCTATGTTGTGTCATCTGTACTATTATTTGTCTGTTTGTCTTTTTATTTTTGGCCATGGCGTTGTCAGTTTCTTTTCGATCTATGAGTTTGACTGTCCCTCTGGTATCTTTCGTCCCTCTTTTTTAACACACACACTGGATACAACGTTCTGTATGTACAACAAAATGCCAAATAAACCCGATGTTTTGATAAATGATGAAAAACAAATGAAATTCTAGCACACAATTAAATCTCTTGCTTATAATCCGTGACTAGGTAAATGTCCCCTACTAGTAAACCAATTTTGATCCGAAACTGATTTGAAAGATTCGTCTAATGCGGTAAATTCAGTACTGTTCAGACAGATTGATCGCAGTCAAGTAAGACATGTTCATTCCATGTAACTCTGTTCAGTAGTTCGAGTTAAGACATCACCCACCAGTCTCACCCTACATATAAGTTGTTTGTGTAACATAGTGATCATTTCTAAAACGCATATATACAAATTTGGTGTAATATGATTTCTTTTCCACCCAGTGCGAATGAATGAAACGGCCTTTTCACTTAAATATTTACTAAACAAGTACAATTCACACGATCACCAAGAACAGTTTATTAACAAAATTTTATCGAAACCTTTTTTTTCTTCAAATACAAATGTACCTGAAATTCACAACATATTTGATCCGGGTCGATAACGCTTAATATTAATTTTGTAACTGTTGATTCATGCATAGTTGTCTTGATATTGTCTTGTTCACAAACTTTGTTACTTACCACTGCATTGAATATTTGTAGGCAATCAAATGGGTATCTGAACCCAAGTGACAATATAATTTCATTTTACCTGATTGATGTTTAATGAGAATCTACTTTGCAAAAATTAATTTAATTAGTAAAACCAAGTTATATAACATACCTAATATTATCAGTTCAACAAGATAACAACGTTATTATATGATGAACTACGCCTGCTGATATATATGAGTTTGCTTTCGTTTTTACAATAATAGCATTGTCATTAAAAGTATCATATTGTAAAGATCTAAATTTTCGAAGTCGTGTACGTGTAGGAAAATAATTAATCCAGGATTTCCCAAATGGCTACTTAAAATGTTAAAAAACAAATGTGCAAAGCATATGATCTTACATATTCTGGTTGCTGTTTCATTGCCATATACCCCACATCTCATGTTATTCATATATGATTGATTGACGCCAGCAATAGTTTGGTAGTTTTTTCATTGACGTATATAGCAACGTCTTCTGCGATTCGATTCATTGATTGATAAACTGATTGATTGATTATTAGTTGCTGAACGCCTAGTCATAGATAGTATATGTACATACATATTACGGACGATAACATGTTGATGAGATAAGAATATGCTTTGTATGCTTTGAACTATAACAATACCACCACGTTGAATGGGATTGAACGTGTGAGTTCCCAAGGTCACAGTGTGTAGAAAACCATATCACCCTTGGACAAATGATTCTGACTATGAGTCGCCAGGTGTTGCCCCCTTTTCTCAATACTGCGTATTTGGTGTAGAAACATCAATAACATTACACATTTGGTTTGAAGTTATAGTATTGCAGTCTTGTTATACTCTAACTAAATAATGAAATAATAAAAACAAAATATATGGACAGTCTACAATCATCGAATTCATTTATTCGCCTTCATGCAACAGTACATACAAAGATTAAAGAAAAAAAAAGCAATCAGTCGTTCCTGCATATGTTTTATTACACTTTGTCGTTTCCATTCAGAAAGAATAGGAGAAATAATGTCATTTGATAAGGAAATTTCCGATTTGAATTTTCCTTGGAGGTCGGTTTTTTTATTTTACTTTTCATATATAGAACGTCATTTTAAAAAATTAGGAAGTATCCAGAAACCATAAGACCCACTGATCGAGAGCAGGCAACGTAATAAGAAAAAAAAAAAATTCATGAATACCTACAATTTTTTATAGAAATCTGTTTTCGAACACAATTTTACTATTAAATAAAGAGTTATATCAGATTTTTTTTTTATTTATTTATAGATTTTGTTAGAGACGAGAGGCACTAACTTCGTAGTATGCGATATACTTACACTGTCAGTTGTCCAGGATTAGTCTCATTATAAAGAAAAAGTAATTTTACTTTTATTGCCAAATATTGCATAAAAGGTTGACATTTATAACGTTTTAAATTACACTTATTTTCCTAAACCATGTTGCTGTTGTTTTTTTTTTAAATTAAATGCGTTTATGTAGTAATGAAAACATATGACATGTTCTAGGTTCCTTTCTCAGTATGGAATCTGGGACACAACTTAATTCCGATTTGTCTTTAAAGTTTGAAAGTTTGAAAGATCTAATTAGCTGGTACTACAACAAGGAACATATGAAGATGAAAATATAAGGCTTAGAAATTTTCAGAAATCCAGCAAAAGCAAGAAAAGATATGTTATAGCTTTTAAAATATTTACTTTTAGTACTAAAGAGATTGTTAAAAATTGAGTTCGTTTTTTGAATTATGTTTAAATTGATTAGGCTATTTAAATGTATGCTCCATGCTTAATCTATTGATAGTTATTTTTTAATCGAAATTTTAGTGAGCTTATGTTTAGTAGATATTATCTATTAAAGAACCTTTTTCGTAACTGCCACATAGTCTTAAAAAAATGTAGCAGAATTATTTAACTTTCAGTCTTTAAACAACTCCATATATGTACAAGTTACAGGTTCTTGCTATATTTATTTACTGGTTTTAATGAAAAGTATTTGCACTCTGACTAAAGTTGTCATTCACTATACACGTGCGTTTCTTCGACAGTGAAACTGGCTATAGTCAGACTGAAGTATCTTTACCAAGTCAGAAATGTTATTCGATTAATTCATCCGTAATTTGTCAAGTGTTTCCCTTTTTCTCAATCAAACAAGTCTTTCATTTTTCTTGAAAAAACGTTTATTAAGTGTTGGTAGCAGCAATGGTATTCGTAAATGACGCAGCTGTATTAGTTATAAAAGCAAACAAAGCTGCAGTGGACTTTCAGTTTTTAATTTGTAGCTTGAAAAAAAGCTCGGTGACCTAGCACACTTATTTCATTTTTGAACTTATTACAATGTATACTATATTTTTACAATTTTTTTTTACTCCCATTACACCTTAATTATTTTGATTTGAAAGAAAAGAATTGACAGCATTTTCTTTAAATGGTAATTTCATCAGTAGAGCAAAGAAGATTAAGAAATAATGTGTTGATCATTTTTATAGCTAAACAGACGTACAAATTGGCTTAAATTCAATGGAATATGTGCATTCTTAAATCAGATCAAAATATTGTTTTTAGTTACAGCACAATAAGGGTCAGGAATAGTTGGTTGAATAGACGCAATGATCGTATACTACAAGAAAAAATTAATCTAGCTATTGTGTCATTCTTTAAGCAAATTAAATTTTTAAAATTTAATTAGCAAACCAGATTTTTCCATTTTAAGATCAAATGTCTTTTGTAGTGAAAACATGTATCAATGAATAGTTTTATCGTACATTGTGCCAGTATGTTTAAAGCAACCAATGTATTGAATTTTGGGTATTGTAGTTAAATGTAATTTTAAAGTAATAGCATATACATTTACAAATATTATCTTGTGTGTACACACTTATTTGTGAGAATAAAATTATACATGGCCATATTTTATTATTACTTTTTTTTATTCGAGAACATACACTGTCATCATATTGATTCAGATTTTGATAAGACTTGCATGTCAAAAACTCATTCATGTTATTTTATTGCACACACATTTTAACGTTTATATTATTTATTGATTGATGGTATCTTTTTCAAATATTGTTGATGTTGTTAAGCACTTTAGATTTATGACACAACTTTGGACACATTAAATTCATAAAGTGTTAAAGTTTCCTTGTTTGATAGCACTGAATCGATATCGCTGCTAATGGACTATAAGTTGGAAGTCGTGATTTGGTACCAACATAATTTAAAACATATCTAGTTTTGAATTGTTCGATTATAAATGTACGAAATGTACGATCTGGTCTGTCGGACAAGTATTTATATTTTTTAAATTCTGTCGTGCACATAAGGGTTTAAATTTTTTACATTAAGTGCAAACAAACAAAACCGCAAAAAAAAGTTTCATTTTGAGATCTTGTCATTAATATTGTCATTTATCTTTTTTAATATAAGCAAGTGTTTTAAATTACCCAAAAAGATAATTTGCTACAATATGTATTTTACATAAATGTATTTGTTTGTTAAACATCTGTTTTGGTAAGGTTGTTGCTCATATCTCCTTTGTGCAAAAGCTGTTCGTAAAATGGCAATTTGTGTCAAATATGTCAATTGTAACATGCTTATCACACCATAGTGACATCACAGGCAAACATTGTACACTTACGTGTCCAGATTATGTTATCCTGTTCTTTTATAAATTAGATAAATCTAATTTAGAAGTCTGGCATAATTTCACTTTTTTTTTTAAATTTCAGAATTATAGCTCTTATCATACCTTAACCTTAATGTATCAAAGTGATTAATAGTTCACTACTACTTGACCATCATGCAATGTAATATTAAAACTAAGGATACATTTGCAAATTATCATATGCTCAATAATCAGTCGTCATTCCAATTTTATGAATTAACATATGTGAACTTTGTAGTAACATATACGTACAATTTTTGTTTATTTGTCAACGAAACTGAGTCTGTCTGGCGGCATAGCTATTAAAAGGCCATACATCTTCCTTCTTTTATATCTTTTAAAATTATGATAAAAAGGGCCACTCATATCAAACATTCTTATTCATTTTCCTTTCTTTTAGGAGTGTTCGATCATCAAGTATATTGCAACCTGTAATGTTCGGTTTTATGATGTAAATGTAAGTGAATGTCAACAAAAGTTTTGAAGGGGAAAAGAAACTGACAAAACAACAGAAAAAAAAAGACAAAACACCATTGTCTGCATTCAACATTAAAAGACAACGATAAAAAAAGATATCTATGAATATAATTAATATTGAGGCATGTTATATGATTTTTTTTTTAATCACAGGATTAAATTCCTTATTGTTTTGGTTGGTTAAGTAACTGTGAGGAACAATTGTTTTAATTTTACAGTTGTGACATTTATGTAATTGCCTTGCAACCAAAGTTTTTTCGGTTCAACAAGTGTTTAAAAATGCAGTTTCAGTTATTTTTTCTACTTGTATAAAACATACACACTTTATAAAATATTCTGTAAAGCAAATGATAATTAAAATATCTACATGCATCTAATTTGTATTTACTTTATGCAAATATCAATATTTAAGCTGCTTTAATACCACGACCAATTTTTAGAGACTGAAATATATAAGATATGCACACATTTTGATAAATTATTCATGCATCTGTTTGTTGTTTATTTCGCAGCATGAAATTTATAAATAAATTGCGTATATTCACATCAGAAACCGCTCAACCTTATTTAATCTGGAGTTTTGTACAGTTAAAAAAATGTATTCGTGCGTTATGACTGACTTTGGTACTTCGATTGCCTACCTAGTTCATGATCTATTTTTAGCCATTTTGCTTGAACTTGCAGAACACGGCATCCAAAAGAGGGCTTGTTATTATTATTCATACGTTGGTCGATGTTGCAGAAAGAAGGGATGGTGGAGGTACAATATTATATATGTTGGTACACTGTCTTTAGATGCTTTTGGTTTAGAAAACAGGAGTGCTGCTTCAGACATTAAGTACTGTTGCCTTATCTCAACTTTTTCTTTTTATTTCAAGATTCTTAGGATACTTATGTATGGCTGACTATGTTATATATTTGAAAATGTGTTTGTAAGTGTGTGTCTATTGGTTTGGGTTTTATAACGAAAAGATAGATTGCGGATCTGATTGCGTTTGTTTAAAAAAAAATATATCAAATGTTATAGCCAATTAAAATCATACTCACGACGAATTTTTAATTCAAACATTAATTGTTACCTTTTTCAAATAAATAATTATAAAGAATTAGACAACGTTCATACTACCATTCATTAATTGACCACTATTACAGTTGCTACATGTAAAGGACATTTTCCATTAAACCAGGGGCCATGTCAATAAAAGTATTCTAGGATATGCCCAAAGATATGTCTTAGGACATAATGGATGGTCTTAAAACGTATCTGAGACATGTCGTAGGATTTTAAACAAAGCTATATTTGGACAGTCCTAACTATTATTGTCCTAGGAACATCCTAACACATATATTTAAATATGTAGAGAATTAAATGAAATATACTAAAATGTATTTCAGGAAGAATAAAAAGGGCAGACGGTTGCATTTTTTATTGAAAACAAATTAACGAAAAATAATATTTTAACGTTATACGAATAGATATATACGAATAGTAAATACTATTAAAATTGATAAATAAATTTCATACAACTACTAAACTAAATTGTAACAAGACTTTGTTAGAGGTTACCATCGAATTGCAATTTAAGCTTTATAATTTTGTCCTTAGGTCCACTCAATTTTATTGCATGTATTGAATCAGTCTTTGTAAAAAAAGAGGTCCAAATTATTCTGAAACCGAAATTAAAATATTTTCCACATTTCAATAATTGTTGTACAATTTGGTCAGGTAAAAAAGCATGTAACATGGTTATTCCTATAATAAATTTGTAAGCTTCAAAAAGGGAAGTACAAAATTAATCTAAATAAGCGTAATAACATGATATCGTCAAACATTTTTTTTGGAGAGCTGTGATCAATTGACATTTCAATATTTTCCTGTGTATAGAAAGGCAAATTTAGTTCTAAAGTATCTGACCAAGTCACTCCGGTTTATCTCATTGTATTTACTGTTTGTCTGTTGGTCTTTTTCTTTTGTAGCCAAGGCGTTGTCAGTTTTTTTTCGACTGATGAGTTTGAATGTCCCTTTGGTATCTTTCGGCTCTCTTTTAAAGTATTTAGTTTTAGTTTTTGGAACAAAAGGCATATATCTTTGTCTGGTTGTTCTAGAACTTACATGAAGAACAAGCTAACAAACAACAATGAACGCTCCTCGTTGTTATCTGTCAGTATTTTATTGAACAGTTTGTCTACAAATTTAAAAAAATGTAGCACAGTTAATTCTTTAAAAATATATATATATTGAAGAATATTTTGTTTAATTCTAATAACATCATAATAGTTTAATATTTGTCTAATTGACATACATTTTATTCATGGCAACGGAAATCTGTTATTTCTTTCTTAATAAACAAAACGCTCATAATTTTCTCCTGAAAATCTTATTTTTTGTAGAATTTGATCACATTCAAAAGTTTTAACATGTCTGGTATTCAAGTTTGACACCGGAGCTGGACACTAGACGTGATACTGATATTTACAAGAGACCAGATCGACTTTTAATTTAACACAAAGACAATTTTACTCTAAGAGAAATAGGTTTAACAACTCGTGAGAATTGGATATCGCTTGATATCAGCTCTAGTTATATAATTTGAATAGTTAAAATAAACTCGCCGAAGGCTCGATTATCATATTATTGAATTTAGATAACCAAAGATGATGTCCAATTGCCACTCCTTTTGAAACCAATAAGTCCCATTTATAATTAAGATCAAACGACATCCATAAAATGTTAACTGGTATACTATTATTTAGTTTGATCGATGACAGGAAAAGTTCATTCGACTGAAAATCTAGGATCGTCTTTAACTTGATCTGTTACCGTCGTCAAGGTGATACATTTGCTCTGCAAAAATCATTAAAAGATTAGGTACGTCAATGGGGCAATTAAAAGCCATACCTTGCTGAAAAACAAACAAAACCATGACCAAATAAAGAAAAACTTCCACAAAAATTGTAACAGTGAAAACTGATTAAAAAATCGGGTCGTACTTAGTTGAAGATCTTATTCCAACTCCCTTACATATATTTGCATGTTGCTAAGTTTTTAGTTTTCAGTGTTTTAGTGGAATTGTTTTTTGTCTGTTCGTCTTCTTTCTTTTTCGCATGAAATTGCAAGTTATTCTTCGAGATATGATTTTTTCTCACCCTACCCTCTCCCCCTTGGTATTTACTACTCTCTCCTTTTAGACACCATAAACATATTCAATAAGACAGTCATCAGATATTTGAAGGATAATTTGATATTGAGAACTAGAGATAATTAAATGCACCAGTCCTCACAAAGACTAAACTTTACGTGATTAATATTATAAATGAAGGCAACTGTATTATACCGCTGTTCACTATAATCATTATAATATTATAACAGTCAAGTATTCATCATTTTAACCTTTGAATTAAAGAAACGACACTAACTAAAAAGGGGACGTATTAGAAATATAGAAATTATACCTGAATATTAAAGTAAAATATACAAATACAGTGTATGATTCAACTCTTTATTAACTTTATAATGCAGTTAAGACGTTTCCTTTGGTCAAATAATTGTTCTTGTAATTTTGACTAACGTTTGGTTCTGTGAGATTCTAATAAAGATAAATCCATTAAAGCGCATCGAACGCATCAATTTTATAAAACTTTCTTTATTATTTACCATCATTTTGTAAAACAACGTTGGGGGGGGGGGGGGGGGATTGTTTGCCCACGACTTTAAGGTTACAATGTACTAAATAAAGTTACATGAGAGCAGCCATTCGTGAAGGGAACATGACATAGAGATAAAAATAGCTGGCTATCTGTGATTGGTTGTTATATCAGTTATATATTTTTCTCCTTAAAAGCATTATAAGTAAAGTTTAATGCAAGCACAAACTTGTCCTCAAAGTATACCATTATGGGCCGGAGATTTCTTTTTTTTTATCAAAATTATGAAATCGTTAGGCATGGTAAAAAATCCAAAAGTTCACCAAGAAAAGCCATGGGACCGTATAAATTTATGTGCGGTAAAATCACAAATAGATATCGCGCTCATAAAAGACAACAGCAGTTTTTTCATAAATAGCTTATTAAAAACGCCATTTAAGGACATAATTGACAAAAATAGCATTGTCCGCAATGGGGCAACCATTTAGTACTTTGTATTCTAAAGTAGTATTAGAATATGTCAAAAATGGTATTCAAAGAGAGAATTCGACTTCAAAAACATTTTACAAGTGTTGTGGTATTTGTAAATAGCTCCTTTTTCATGCTATAGTATGTTTCTTATTTGCTTTCAAAACACTGGTAGGTACGGAATTAAACTCGCCATGATGTGTCTTATCGGTTTTTATCAAAGTTTGTTTTAAATGCTTGTCCGACAGATGTTGGCCTAACTTTTGGTGGTATTCGTTAGATCTTGACATATCACGTGTTGCAGATTTCTTTGGACTTTACCCTTCCCCTTTTCTGTAAAAATTGCCCAAATGGTACTTTTCATAAATGAAATATTTTCAGCTCATTCAAAACATGAACGGAACTCTTATATGGCTAATATAGAACATCAGAAGCTGTATTTGATTCAAAGATACTAAAATGTGCGTATGTATCCGAGTTTTTAAGACTATAGTCCGTTTCAAATTAGTGTTTTCATGTTATATTGAACTCGTCCGAATTTTTAATTTGGTTTTCGGCACAGCGTCATTCAAATTAAATTCTTTGTTGATCAATATCAGGAGCACATGATAACTTCGAAAAGGCAATACTAATAAAGAGACAAAATATTACACTTGTAAGAAACAGTACCGTATTGTCTATTAAAAAAAGTGTAATTTTTTAACAGGGTTAGGGTCCAGAAATTAATTCCTGTATTTTCTAGAGCTTTCAATGAGGTCTTTAGCTTAGTGGTATGAATTCAAGTAATGTTCATGCATCTAATGCAGCATAACATATCAGATTTCAGAACTGGTTTATTACCGTAAAGGTTATAGTGTACTAAATAAATTTACATGGGCGCAGGCATTCGTGAAAGAAACATGACATAGATATAAAAATAGCTGGCTATCTGTGATTGGTTGTTATATCAGTTATATATGTTTCTCCTGGAAAGCATTAGGAATAAAGTTTAATGCAAGCACAAACTTGTCCTCAAAAGTATACCATTAAGGGCCGGAGATTTTTTTTTATTTTGATCAAAATTATGGGACATTTTCTGCGAAATCGTTAGGTATGGTAAACAAAACTCCAAAATTCACCAAGAAAAGCCATGGGACCATGTAATTTAAGTGCGGTAAAATCACAAATAGATATCGCGCTCATATAAGACAACAGCAGTTTTTTCATAAATAGTTTATTAAAAACGCCATTTAAGAACATAATTGACAAAAATAGCATTGTCCTCAATAGGGCAAACATTTAGTACTTTGTATTCTTAACATCCGCTCTGCAGTCCAACTCCCCTAGGTAAAGTTCATCTAACTTTGTTTTGGCTATTCTTGTTGTGTCTCCTAGGTTATATATTTCTTCCAGTATTTACATCAGTGAATTTTAAATGTTTGGTTTTGGGCGTTCCTAGTCAAGATAATCCAGAAAAGCATTTAGACTGCACCAAATTTATCAAGTTATTTCAATTTTTAAAGTGTTCTACTGGCATGAGATATTACTATTTGACAAATAAATAGAAATTTCGAACTCAATGACTTTACACAACCTACCCAATCTATCTGAACGTATCTTGACTTAATGCATTGAAACATGACAGATGCATTTCAAATCTTTGCATCTAGTGTTGTTCTCTGTTGAATGATATCAATAATAACATCCTTTTAAAGGATTAATAAATCCAGTAGCTTGTAATCATATTCACTGATCATTACTTGATCATTTGACTTGACCCATTTTTTTTTCTTTTTTTTTCAAAAGATGGATTTTTAAAACTACATAATCAAAAATTAGCATGACAAAATACAAATAATGAAATCTAAATCAAGTTAATTTCCTCATTTTTATTTGTTTAATAAGTTTTTAAAAAATCCTTTATTTCATGTCTTTGATTATAATAATAGAAAAACAAAAGAGTATTCGTTCTCGCAGTAACGATGCTTTGTTGCGTACACACATACTATTTTTATTCAGATAATATAGATGTCTACTATAAGCTCGTGTTATAGGACCCGATTCTCAATTAAGAACTAAGTGATATGCATTTTTGTTGAATTTATAAATAACCTGTCGTATAATTTAGAGCTTGCTATAAAGCGTGCTCACTTGGTCATCCGTTGAGGCCGTATAGTTATCTCCGGTTATCTTATATTGTTGTTAGCACTAGCTTTGGTGTCGCGGATCTGCGTAAAAGGGGGTGCCTATGCGATTTATTTAATCATTTTTATTATAAATTATTTAATTTCGATTATTTACAAAAAAGGTCGGCTAACTTGACGGCGAGCTATAATACTTTTGAACTTGGAGAAGAACAAGGTCTGCATCTATAAAAAAAAATCATTATGTGTTTTATTTAATGGTTTACACATTTGTTTTTTGTTAATATTCTTTCACGTTTCTTTCAATGACCATTTTAATAGAATATTCATCTGTAAAGTACATTGAAAAATATGTTGTCATAAGCAAGACCATAAAATATAACTCTTAAGAGATACGGCTGCAGACGTGATCTTAAGATAATGAAAATTTTAGCTGGAATCTTGAGAAACACGTGATAATTAAAATACATGATTTCTGTCATTTTTCACCATCTAGAAATTATATGGTATTTACGAAAATTTTAGTGTATGTATATTTATTACAGTCTTAATTTAGATAGAAAAGAAACTATATCAGAAACAATTGTCATGTTTATTGAAACAATTCTAAACTAGTCAAATACAACATCTTCAATTTGGCTAAATTCTGTCGGATAACAGGCAAAGTTTTCTCCAGGGAAAAATAAAGTACACATCTATTGACATTTTATTGACTATAAATTATCCTCATTTGTTATAAATGGTGTTCCGATTCTAAACTAAACATCAGCTTTTTCCCCCCTTGCCCAATAATTTCCTGATTTTTGTCCTATTGATAATATACAATTAAGGATTATTAGATTATTTATTTGATTATCCTGAACAAGTAATTTCAATTTCCAAAAAAAAAATAAAATATTATATATATAGATATATTTTCTGATACTACATACATCATTTGTACATGTGCAAGTTATAAAATACAAAAATCTTGAACCCGAACTCTGAATTCTGAAAAAAAATTCCTTTATTTAAAGAAGCATCTATATTGTCAAAACTGCTGGACTCGCATGGTGCATTTTCTAGGTATACATATGCCAAGAATATTAAAAAAAAAACAAAAAAAAAACAGACCTTTGAGATAGAGTTAATTATTGTAGGGACTTGAATAAAGTAAACTCTTTAAAGCCCTTGATTAAAAATGAATTTAAAGGAAAACATAAGAATATGTTTGAAAATAGAATAAAAAGTTATGATGAAATAGTAAACTGTTACTTTATAAAAATTTGACACTTAACTTGGATAGAGAGTTTTATTTAGCGTCCAATGCCTTTTCTATAAGAAAATGATTTACTAAGTTCAGAATAACTGACTATAATTTAGAAATAGGAAAAGGTCGCTATTATAATCATGTGTTCATTTTTTATAGAATTGCAATTTTTTCGAGTTATCATGTTTGTTTCCGTTTTTTTTTGTGTATTTGTCACATACTAATAATGTTTATATGACAATAAAGATATTATTACATGTTGCTTTAATGAATATTTTAAAATGTCAAAAGAAAAAGAATGAATTATCTGAATTTTATTTAAATAAAGTCCTAAAGATTTGTTAATCAATGTTGAATGGAGATCAGTACCTCTAAATCTTTACAATTTTGATTTTAGAAAAAAAACTGAGAAATACCTTTTCAATAGAAAAAGGCAGACATTATAAGATCCATAGAAATGGTTGACTGTGCAAGTCTGCAATATATTAGAAGATGAGATTCATTTATTCTTCATTTGCCAAAAAACACATGTAAGAAATAACTTAAATTGAGAGAATTATTTAAAAGGTCATAACAGCAAAAGTAATATTAAGCTATATGTTCAGCTAGTTTTATTATTTTATTTTATTTTTTTAATTTTCTTGTCATTATCACAGTAATTAAATTTGACAAACACATATATTTTACCTGAGACATATCCTTTAGATTCATAAACATTTACAATGTACATGAGACACTTTACCTGTAAGCTATTTAATTTTACCATTTAAATGCAATCATGATTTCCCTTTACCCTTGACCAGTTTTTGAGTAATACCTTGTGTATTAATTGAACAACAGGGGGTATAATAATGGATATATGGGACCATCATGGTGGACATAGTTTGTATGGCCACCATTAATCAGAGAATGTCACAGGTAGTACAATACATGTGACATAGTCCCCAATCCTACATCTTATCACTATACGTACGGCTTTTCACAAATATATCGTTCAGTTTTTGAACAATCAATGTCGTCCCATCTATAGCTATGGTAATATGCAATACACACACAATCCTGTTCGCCTCCACCATTGTTAGGTTCTCCCGTATACCAGTCAGTAATAGTAATTGATGTCTGGCTACTGACCCATTTAAATGAACCTTCACTAAGGCTATCTGTGCCTCCAATAAAAAACGCTATAAATAACAAATTGAAGGATTACATAAATATTTGATTACAGAAGCAAAAATAATGTTATATCAAAATAAAATAATATATATAGTAGTGATGGCAACGAGTACTCGAGTATCGCTCGGTAGTACCGAGTATCGAATACAAAAATGATACTCGACTAATCGGTTTCCTGTTAGAATACTGCTGTCTTCTTAATATGAAATTGATCTTCTTGAGAACCTCTTTTGGAAAATTAAATAGGCATCATTGATTTATCATACTTGTAAATAAGATATTTGTTTCGAATGCTTGAGCTAGATTGACATTTAAAATGCCTCCGAAAATACGTGGGCTATACCTACGCTAATACTTTAAACTAAACATATCTTAGCCATTCCGTCACATCGGTACCGTCAGAGCAAATATTTTCGTCTGCAAGACTGTAATTTACAAAGTTGCAAAACCGACTGTCCCCATTAGTAGTTGACAAGAAAATGTTTCCAGATAAAATAGATTTGTTTCATTCTCTGGTGACCCTCGGTGAATAGATAAACTTCTAATCCTTACGCCTTTGTAAACATTCAACATTTTGATTTTTCAACCCTGTATGCCACCATTCTCCAAGTGAAATTGAAAAATCGTCTAAAAGGAATAATCCACAATGCTTTTCAATATAAAAATGGTAACATACGCTATAAATTTATTACTTTGGGATATCATACGGCATATTTTGTTAATAGTGAACAAAAAGGTAAAATATGCTACACAGTGGAACAAGTGATTATTATGACGGAGTCTCTTATTGACAACATATTTGTTGAATTTGGAGGTAGACTTTTTCAACAAATTGACGGCATTCCTATGGGAACGTAATGTGCGCCTCTCCTTGCCGACCTCTTCTTATTTTCATATGATTCGGGGTTCCTTCAGACACTTGTCAAAAACGAAAGATCAAAGAAGCCAGATTATTTAATTTTACATTCATAATGATGATTTTTCTTTCCATTAACAATTCCTAATTTTCTGATTGGGTTCCATTAAGATATCATCCAAAATAAGAAATTATAGAAACAACAGACATGGCTACCTCCGGCTAATTTTTAGATTTATACCTCGAATTTGAGATAAGTTGTCATCTCAGTACCAGAATCTTTGACAAATGAGACGATTTTAATTTTGAAATTTTCAATTCCTCCCACCTTAGTAGCAATATACCAACTCCACCTGCATATGGGATATACATTTCACAACTCATTTGGTATTCAAGAGCTTGCAGCTGCTACTCAGACTTTATAAAACGTCACCAGTGTCTGAGCAGAAAGTTGATGAACAAGGATTATGTCAAAGAACGTCTCGTCCTTTTTCTGAAAAAGTTTATTGGAAGATACGTAGATTAATATTCCGTATCAGTTTCACACATAATACATGATGATCTCGAAATATAGGTTCTAGGTACTGACGTTGTTATCATCTTAATTACGGGTTATAGTGGTTTTTTTTATTTGTCTTTGTAAACTATTAACTTTTCTGCTTAGTCTATTTTTGGTAATATGCTTTTGGCGTGGCTTTCCAATATGTTGTTGTGCTGTGGTAATTTTTTGTATTCTCGTCTTTCATTTTTGCTTATGTGCTTTGTCTATATGCCTTTTTGTTTTTCTTTGTTGACATATTTGTTTGTTTTTATAGTGATTAAGATTATAACATAATTTTAACTTCTATACCCCTTTTTTGATATTTTGATCTATTATGTCATAAAATTGAGAATGCAAAAGGGGAATATGTCAAAGAGACAACAACCCGACCAAAGAGCAGATAACAGCCGAAGGCCACCAATGGGTCTTCAACACAGCGGAAAAATCCCGCACGCGGAGGTGGTCCTCAGCTGGCCCCTAAATAAAAGTGTGTACTGGTTCAGTGAAAATGGACGTCACACTAAACTCTTAAATATAAAAAGTAACTAAAATTAAAAAAACATACAAGACTAACAAAGGCCAGAGGCTCCTGACATGGGACAGGCGCACAAATGCGGCGGGGTTAAACATGTTTTGGGAGATCTCAACCCTCCCCTATACCTCTAGCCAATGTAGAATAAAGAAACACATAGCAATACGCACAGTAAAACTCAGTTTAAAAGAAGTCCGAGTCCGATGTCAGAATAGGTAACAAAAGAAACTAAGCAAAATCACAATGATACATAAATTAACAAAGGACTACTTGCAGTTACTGACATGCCAGCTTCAGACCTCAATTAAACTGATTGAAAGATTATGTCTTCATCATATGAAAATCAGGTACAATCCCTCCCGTTAGGGGTTTAGTATCATACCATCATAAAATGTATGAGAAGAACATAACCCGTATCATGCCAACAACTGGTTTTAGAATAAATGTGTTTATTTCCGATGCATAGACCCTATGAGTGAATCAATATTAATACCAAAATATGCAATCCTTAATGACCTGACAACAGTATCGTAACTATATCCCTTCCGAATAAGTCTGTTTAAAGGTTTGGTTAGCTTTTGATGTCAATGCCGACATTTTTGTGCTCTGTGAAGAATATTATCATAAAATATTAGATGTGAAATACCTGAACGTATAAGATGTCTGCATGTTGATTTATATTTACAAATGATGTCCTTGTACCGATGATAAAATTTAGTAAATGTTTTGACTAGTTTGTGATATCGAATACCCTGGTGTAATAATTTTTCAGTAATACAGATATTTCTTCCGTTGAAATAAAATACGTTGTTACATACACGAGCGAATCGAACAAGTTGAGATATATAAACACCATAAGATGGTGACAAAGGAACGTCACCATCTAAAAATGGATAGTTAACAATAGGAAATGATAAATCATCTCTTTTATCATAAATTTTGGTATTAAGCTTCCCGTTAAAGATATAGATATCAAGATCCAGGAAAGAGCAGTGTTCATTGTTAGTATTAACTTTATTTAAAGTCAGTTCGGCAGGATAAATCTCTTTAGTGTACATACTGAAGTCGTCATTATTGAGAGCCAATATCATGAATATATCATCTAAATATCTAAAAGTGTTATTAAATTTTTGAATCAGATGTTGTTTCGATGGGTCTTTGATGATTTTAGTCATAAATTGTAACTCATAACAATACAGAAACAGGTCAGCAATAAGTGGTGCACAGTTAGTTACCATGGGAATTCCGATAACCTGACGATATACGGAATCTCCATAGCGAACAAAAATGTTATATAGTAAAAATTCAAGGGCAGTTATAGTATCAAAGCAGGTCCAATTGACATAGTTCTTTTGTTTGTTGTTACTAAAAATGACCGAAAAGAGTTTGAACATATATATTCGCATTCCGACTTTTTAAATGCCCATTTAATCAGGTGTATGAATTTTTTCTTAAAAAGATAACGAGGCAAAGTGGTATATAGGGTAGAAAAATCAACACTTTGAACAGATTCAAAATCACCAATATAAGCATGCATTTTATCAAGTACTTCCAATAAATTGTTGACACTCCAAAAGTAATTAATTCCATTATTTTCAAAGGCCTTATTTGAACAATTTATTTCCAGGTTTTTGATTGTACCAAGTGTACTAGTAAGTAGAATAGATAATTTAGTAGTGGAACAATGGCTTGAAGACGAAATAAATCTATATTTGTAAGGAGTTTTGTGCAACTTCGGAAGCCAGTACATAGTTGGAACTTTCATTGTATTTGGTTCTGCTTGTAAAGATGAAGCCAAAAGTTTTTTTTTGTTACAGATGTCATTTTCCGAAAATGGAGTCAGTTGGAATGTTGGTGAATTCGTGATTTCCTTTTAAAACCCTCAATGTAAAATTAACGTAAAACAATAATGATATTGTTAGCAGCCTTATTAGCCGGGACAAAAACATATTCCTTGGCGAGTTCTTTTAGCTTATGTTTGATACGAGAAATTGGGCTATTATGGTTGTTGTTAGGAGTAAAATGTTCTTTAAAATGTTGAATACGTATATCAACTATGTTCATTATCGAATTAAAAAAAGAATCTAATGATTTCTTGTCAGCTTTTTCTCGTTTAATTCATTTAGAGCAGTAAGTACGGAGTGATTCGTGGATGATGTTACGACACTCATTCCAATTAATAATTGACGGTGGACGATATTTAGGTCCTTTACTGAGGAATGATTTCTACTCTCGGTCACGAACGATGATAAGGTCTCCTGTTATAATATGGAAACTGGGGCCATAAATATATTCGGAATTACTGCAATTTCATGACGTAGGTGTATTGTCACTGATATTAACATCTTTACACACGTCGCTTTAATCAAACACATATTTCCGGGTAGATTTTTTTGTAAACATAACAAATAAGAGGGAGTTCAGTATTATCAAAATAGCCAGGAATTTGTTCTATAACAGAATGATCATTAAAAATACCGGCAATATTTACAAAATCAAAACCTTTATTGACATATTTAATTTTAATAAAATGTTTTTTGTGATCTTCAGGGCGATCAATTTTTGAAAACAATTTAGGATAACAATATGCAATTATAATTTGGACGATTTCAAACTTAGGACTTCAATATGGAATTGTGTTGCATTCTTCCAAAATTTGAGGTAGTTTATTAACAGGTAAAGAACAGAGCTTGGTTAATAGATAATGTCTACCGTTGTTTTTTGAAATAGAAATTAGGTCCGAAATATTTGTATTGTTATTACGAAATTTTCTTTGATTGCGATTTATTCTACCCCCAGTTTGTTCTGTTCACACATTGTTGTCAAAATAATGAAATTTTATGCGACTGGCATACAAGTGAGAGGTTTAGATCGCTATACAACCAGGTTTAATCAACCATTTTCCACATAAGTGCCTGTACCAAGTCAGGAATATGACAGTTGTTTTCCATTCGCTTGATTGGTTTGAGCTTTTATTTTTGCAATTTGATAAGGGACTTTCCGATTTGAATTTTCCTTTGGGTTCGGTAGTTTTGTTATTGTACTTTTTACATCGATCTTAAAGCCCCTTATCTTATTTTTTTTAATATTTCTACTGAACAGAGTGAAAGTTATCTTTCAGACTATGTTTTACTGCTATTGCAAGTCTATATAAATAGACATAGGACTAAAATGCAGAAATTCACACAATTATTTTGACAATAGGAAATTATTATGATATAACAATAAGAATCCTAAAACGTCATTTTTTTCTGGTTCCGAGAAGTAAACGGCAATTGTTATAGCATACATTTTCTGTACAATAACTCAATAGAACAAGGAGAAAAAAGTACTTACTACCTCCGAACTCATTTGCTTTGTTTCTCAAAAATGATATCTCAACACTAGTGTCAGGTTCAGCCAGCTTACCATTTCTATTGTTACAGTCCGTCTAAAAAGTAAACCATCAGTCAAATAGGTTGCATAATATATAATTGTATACGTTTTGTAGAAAACGAATCTCCGTTTGACTCTTTTAATACTCTTTCTCGTGCATGGTCATTTACAATTACATTGAGAATGGAAATGGGGAATGTGTCAAAGAGACAACAACCTGACCAAAGCAGAAAATAGCAGAAGGCCACTAATGGGTCTTCAGCACAGCAAGAAAATCCCGCACCATCGGAGGCGGGCTCCAGCTGGCCCCTTAACAAAAATGTGTACTAGTTCAGTGAAAATAGACGTCACACTAAACTCTAAAACATATAAATGAACTAAAATTAAAAAACATACAAGATTAACAAAGGCCAGAGACTCCTGACTTGGGACAGGCACAAAAATGCGGCGGGGTTAAACATGTTTTGTGGAATCTCAACCCTCCACCTATACCTTTAACCAATGTAGAATAAAAAAAAAACACACAACAATACGTACAGTAAAACTCAGTTTAAAAGAAGTCCGAGTCCGATGTCAGAATAGGTAACAAAATAGACTAAGCAAAATGAAAATGATACATAAATTAACAAAGGACTACTAGCAGTTACTGGTATGCCAGCTCCATGCATGATGTAAGATGACATCTACAAAAACATTAATGATTGATCGGTATTTGTTAAATGTTAGGTTATAGTCCAGCTGATTCGTGCATATTTTTAGAAGAATAGTGGGTTTGATGACAAAAGCATGAAACTTTGCACAAATGTAAATATATATGGTAGTCAATTTAAACTATAGACTTACTCTGAAAAATCCAATATGGCGGCCATTTTCAAGATGTCTGCCAATCAGTCCAAATTTCACAACCATGTATAAATTAAAGCAAATAATATTCAAACCAAATCTTTAAAAAACATATAAAATGTAATCCAACGTTTCTAGTAAGTCATGACGTTACATTTCACTTTTCATTTTTGTTTGAAATGGCAGAAAATATAAAAATGGCCGCCAAAAAGTAAAATGTCTGTGTTGTCAACCAGTGAAATTCTTGTTTATTCAACGTTCAAGGAATGGAAAACCTTACTTCAGTTCAAACGTTCACAATTCGGTCAAGCTTCAGATAATTTACATGGACCAATGGTTTTCACATGTTTTAAATTTTGTGATTCTAAGGCTTAGAAGAGAGACATTTATAAATCCACCATTATATGATATATGCCTAATTACTGGATATGACTTTTTACGGCCAGAAAATCGCCTTTTAATTGTAGCCACCAAAAGACACAAATCAATAACAAAATTTAACAAGATTTATTATACACAAGTTTACAAGAAGTATTACACAAAAAGAAATGTCAACTTGACTGTCAAAATATATGTCTGATCTTTTGTCTTTTCTTTATCCGGAAATCGTCTCGGGAATCCACGCAGACTATTATGTCCAATAGGTCACAATCTAGTATGATGTAGTTTATAAATAAAATTGTCAATCCAACTGCTGAGAATATTAATGTCTATCGATGTCTTTGTCTATGTCTATGTCTATGTCTAAGTCTATGTCTATATCTGAAAGTTTAACTTTAGTGTCTGTATATATATAGTTGTCACGGAAATCTCAAGAACACTGTAGAAAGGAAACTACTAGAAAACTTTATAACGGAAACTTCTAGAACACTTTGATGTTTAAATTACGCATCTTTTGTTATGATCATTCTGGAAACGTTATGTAAGAAAAATAGAAAGTTCTAATCATTCCATCAGTCTCTATGATTGTTCCAGTGATATCTAACTGCACAGTTACAATATCATTTTGTAAACAAGTACAAATTATGTAAACATATTATTAGGTCACATAAAAAACAAATTAGGCCAACTAAATAAATATGATAGTTACAATATCATAACAGACTCATCAATCTATTTAAACAAGAGTACATAGGTAGGTGTCACTTGTAGAACAAGAACTGCGTACCCTTCCTAAGCACCTGAGATCATCCCCGGTTTTCAGTTGGCTTGGTTTTGCTCAATTTTTTAGATTTTTGTGTAGTGATTTGTGTTAGCATTTTTTTTGGTGTTTTTTTATCCATGTCCTTATCTGGTTTTGTTTTACTATTGATTTTTGAATGCATAAGTATCTTCTCTATCGTTTTATCATATAACAGCATATATTTTGAAAGCAGTTTTCAAATGTTTCTAAAGGACCGCCCATTTAGTGTTGGCCTCACTCACCACCACATTTTGAACAGAACCGTACATAACTCATTGTCCTCAGCATTTTCATCTTACGTGACTCATGTTTTATATTTGTCATCCACATTTTATTACATCATTACAAAATGCTGATACCTCTGTCATAAATGTCCAATAGGGCATATGCCATCTGCATTCACTCGAAGTAGCACTCTGGGGAAAAAGGCCGAAACATTATCCCGTCTTAAGATTTCATATGCTTTGAGAATGTTGTGTTTTTGCTTTTATACGTTTCTGGTTTAGAACATCATGTGGATTACCTGATCACGTTATATTATTTCAAAGGTGGGTTTAATCTTGTTTATTACTATGGCCATTTCTAGACAAAACACCATTAAATGCTGTAGTTGTGCGATATTGGTAGCCATCTGATTGCCCCATCTTTTAAAAGTGTGCAATTGTACTTTTGGGCTTGATCTACATTTACAATTTTCAAATTACGTTTGCAACACTTAAACTGAATAGTTAAATGGCATAATATCGCGCAGGGGTACCGGAAGCCGTAAGTTTGATGGAAAAATGCAAAGAAACAATGAATAAGCAGTATAATGGAATCTTTGTACACCTAGAAGGAACGTTCTCTTAATGATCTCACATTAAAATGCCCAGTTCAATCTTTAATGTTACAGACCAGTTGTGGTAAAGGGGGCTTTAAATTTCCCTATCATTACTCCATTGTTTGAGTGTTACAAAGTTCTCACCAGGGTCTCGTTTCTCAGTAAAAATTCATGATCTTTGCATAAGAATGAGATGTATATCTACCGTAACCTCATAGAAATGTCTTGTTCATGATGCATGAGAGCCTCTAAAAAGACTCTGCTATTCATTAAGGACTAGGTTTCCTTAATCGAACACTTTTTCAACCACTATTTTCTAACCAATCACACAAGGTTCTGAACGATGCCATTTCTACATGAAGACCATAAACAAAACTATTCTTTATTCTGCTCGAAATATGTTTGGCCAGTTCCACTGTTCCGATTTTGCAAAAGCCGATTGATACTTGTCTAAGAAAAAATTAACACATTGCTGGATTATATTCATAGAATGTCGAATCGTTGTGACAGGTTTGATCCCTTCCTGTAACATTGGTCAATGCAGACTGATATATAAATGTGGATGACCATTTGTCTTGGCTCTACATGCGTGGAATGCTGTCCAGACATATTTAATGTTTTCAATATCATCTGCTTCAAGCCATTTGTTATCATTTTGTAAACTCGTTAATACCATGCAAGGATAGTGTTGCACAATTGGGTAATTATACCAGGTTGACATACATGTATTTCTGGTACGACAATTGATAGAGTGCATGTCCATATTATGGTTATTATTAGATGTAAGTCTGAAACGCATGCATATACTTCAAAGCAAAAGCAAAGGTTATGACGAATTTGCCAAATTAAACAAAGAAAATGCTGAAATTTTTAAATTGTCGTACTACGGAACGATTCATAAGCTAGTTGAACTCTTGTTGTTGTCAATATTGTCTACGGCTGCTATTTTAAAACCAATAGGTTTCGCGGGAGGAACCACATATTTAATGTTGAATTTTTCATAATTGGAATCTTCTAGTACTGTAAATAAACAGACAATTGGATCATTCATAAACGACAAACGTAAACTGTACATTTTTTTCATTTAGTACCTCATCTTTTCCTGGTCCTAGCATTCGGTAGAAGGCCTATATACATAATGAGATGGTTTTAATTCAGTTGCATGTAATGTTAAAGAATAATAGAGAAGTAAAACAGAAGTAACTTTGAAATGGATAATGTCAGATTTGCAACAATGGAATAACTCGACTGAATCTGAATATTTGGCCATTCGATTATCAACTAATGTTTTTAGTGACTGTTAAAAAGACTTTTGCCTACATTATGTGTTCTTGAACTACATGCATGTTCAGCGTTTTCAAGTATCGTTGTCATACAAACATATTGTTGTGCCTGCTTGTTTAATTGCAAAACCGAAGTAATCACTACACAGGAGAAGCAAGCACATGCCTTGTTAATGGCCTGGCAAGCCTGATATTACTGCACTTTTTAGATCAGTAACTAATTACTATGTCCTCTGCCGCTTGATAACAGAGAAAACGCGAGTAGTATACATTCTAGTTAAGTTGAGCTTGCATATTTGAATAACACCAGTGTCTATACTTGATCACTCTTTCTAGACTTCTGCTCTGCAAAAATTGGAACCGTAGTTACGATTTTCTTGATATTTTCCTCACAAATCTTTTTATGTTTGGCTTTAGTAAATGAATGTGTCATACACTTGGTGTTATAAAGAACTTAGCTTTAAGAGAACTTTGTCGATTTTAATATCCTTTGGCGGCCATCTTGGAAAAAGCCGCCATATTTAAATTTCAAGTTAGGTCCATAGCTTATATTGTTCGAAGCATCCAGTAACGATTAATATAACATGACTTTGAACTTATATAAGAGGTATTTGTTGATTTTGATATTATATGGCGGCAATCTTGGAAAAAGCCGCCATATTGAATTCTCATGGTGGGTTCATAGCTAATATTCTTTACAACAACCACCACTACTGCCATGCCAAATTTGACCATAAATTTGACCTTGTATAAGTGGTATATGTTGATTTTGATATTTTATGGTGGCCATCTTGGAAAAGGCCGCCATTTTGATATTTCAAGGTGGGTCCATAGGTCATAGTATTTGAAACACCAAGAACTACTTTTTGGTGCTTTTATCATCAAACCCACAATTTTTTCATCGATCTGACGGACTATAATAGACATTTCACATTTTTTGTGATTTTACTTTTTCATGCATAGTCAGCACAAGAAAACATAAAAAAAAAAGGTGGCTGGGTCGAGAATAAAAAAATGAAAAAATCTGAATATGCAAGAAACGGATACAAATTTATCATTTAGACCTTCAGAGAGTTTTTAAAAGGTTCTTTAAAGGGACACTAGCTATGAGATATATAAAAAATCTAATATATGATTTGTTTTTGTTCCATCATAAATGAAAGTGAAACAGTGAAATAATTATTCGCTTTTAGCCGCCAGTATGGTTCAATTTTGTCAAAATAAGCTAAGAAACATTGATGATGAATTATTCACTTGCAAGTGAATAATTCGACCTCATTGAATCCGTATTCATGTGAACTTCAATTTAACCCCTAAGCTAGAGATGGATAGCACGTGAATTGTATGTGTAAAGCTATTTAAAGGAAAAGAATGTCAACATTGAAAGTGAAACAAAGGTAAATCAGTTGATTGACTGATCCGATCCACAAAAAATCATTCTTATACAGGTAAAAACGATGATAAACATATATTTTTAACCTATAATATGAAATTAAACAGACCTAGAAAAATCCATTAGCACGAGTTCGCTTAATCTATTTATATCTGTTTTTGTGTTTACATCGCTTACATGGTCATCGGATGACTTTACTCGATAGTTAATTAGATGGCGTCTAGACTAAAATACACACGAAACGAAGCTACGTGTTATCATGTCCACGTCCTGTTAACTGTTTATTTTAGACTTTTAATAGTTTGGATAAATGTTTTACATTGTTATAAATCAAATATGAAAATTCTTTAGAATAAATTACTTTACAAAAATTTATGATCAGTAACATGAAGATAAAAGAAGAGATGGTATTAAAGTTTCGATTGTTTCCCCTTGGGTCAGACGTTTCAATGACATACATTTGTCAAATTACTTATAACCGTATAGTATTTTTATATTTATCGAAGTCAATCGTTGATTTTACTTACTTACTGCCCCACCCCTATCCTCCACCCCTCCGAAACAACCCAAAACAAAACAAAACAAAACAATATGCTGAGTAACATATTGTTGCTTTTAACTGCTTGTTACTGACCATGTTTAACTTTGGGGATAGAAAGCGCACTGTAGAACTAGCAGAAAAAGTAAATGCAAACTATTGTTCGAATAGATATTACCCGTGCATTTTGCCAAGAAGCTGTGCCGCTGCTGAAGTAGTAACACGTTGTTTCATAGAATATCCATCCCGATCCAGTACAAGAATCTAAAAATAGGAAAAAAAGTGTCAGATTATGGCATCGTTTGATAAAATGCATTCAGCAAGTTTGGCCGTAGATCAATACTGAACATTAATAATACCATAAAAACATTGGAACAGGACCCACCGTTTTAACACGGATAAGGGATACATGGATTGACGGAAAAAATAAAAGTAATAACAAATTTAAAGAGTCAGCATTTTTTATAAGAAAAAGATAAACAGACAAACAACAGTACACAAAACATAACATAGAAAACCAAAGACTGAGCAACACGAACCCTATTTTTTACAACTTATCGTGGTTTTGTTTCATTCCTGTATTGACATTCAAATAATAAATCATATTCGATCAAATACAAACTTTATTGTTTTTGAGACCATACACTACAAACCAGTAAAAGTCTGAAATGGCCTATATCTGTACTCGACTGTACTGAATTTTACTCGACCAGTTTGAATTGGTCTGAAATTTACTTGATATTACTCGACTGTAGTCTGAACCATACTCAACAGTCTGAACTTGTATTTGACCTTTACCCGACCAGTACTTAACCATTTTATATATGTCTGAACCATACTCGACGTAGTCTTAACCATTCTCGTCCAAGTCTGAACCATACTCGACCAAGTCTGAACCATACTCGACCTAGTATGAACCATACGCGATCAAGTCTTAACCAACCTAGAACTATTTCTATACCTATTGTATTTCATCAATTTAGGAATTTTTTTTGGCAACAGATTTTGCCCTTGGCTACAAATTTGAATAACTGTTTGAAATCCAAAATGTATTTAATATAGCATTGAAACCAAAATTTCACAATAAACATAATAAATAAAGGCAGCAGTAGTATACCGGTGTTCAAAGTCATAAAATCATCAACATCATATTCAGCAACACTTATACTTAAATATATAAATATATAGACAATGTATATCACCTTTAAAATATAAATAAAACAAGATGATCAAAGGAAGTATTTCTGGTCTGATTGAAAAACTATCATGTGATAAATTAAGTTTTTGGTTAAATGAATTTTTATATATACATGATATCATGTCCACATTGATTTATGTACATGAAAAATACTAGAACTTTCGACCATTATTCAATTATCTTGAATGGTATTCAAATATTTTTGAATGTTTCAGATATATTTTAGTGTTACTGTAAAATTTTCAACACTGACTTAAGCCTGGTATAAATTCATGGTGTCAGGCGAGTTGAGTTAATAAAGATAAGCGGAAAAAAAAGCACAGGAATAAAGGTCACAGGAAAAAAGTCACAAATTTGGGAGGGAAAAAAGTCACAAATCTGATAAAGAATAATGTCCATGTTTGTAGTAATATTTAATTGTATTTCATTGCTTTTCTAATTTTTCTCTTGTTTTAAAGTTATACAAAACATTCAGAAGTAGATAAATGACAAATTATTAAAAAACTAGATAAATTTAAGGTTTTAAGTGTTAATCTGTTCAGACAGTAGACGATTGACAGGAAATGTAAGTATAAAACTGAAGCCAGTTAATTAGTTAATAACCGTGCGGCTGTTGAATTGTTTTAACTTGACATTTTAATGGACAACATTTTATTCAATTGCAATAAACACAAACATTTAAATACCATATACTCCTGTATTCTAACATTTAAAGATGCTGAAATAATATTAAACACTATTCAGTTAATATGATTTGCAATTACAAATAATTTTTGCTCTGACTTTTTCCCTATAATAGAGACATAAAATGCATATACATATATGTTTCTGCCTACATCTAAATAAAAATCTATTAAAATGTAAATTCAAAAATTTAATATACTGCATTTACTTATTTTTTTTTTACATTGTGACTTTTTATCCATGACTTTTTACATTTTTAATAACACGCAGTGAACTTTTTTTTTATTGTACGTAAATCAGCTTAATAAACTTTCAAAAATGACACCTGTATTTTGTAAAACCAAGAATTTAATATTATAGAACTTTCATAGCAATCATTGATAACCTTTTTAAAAAGGAATTTTGTTCCAAAGTTGCAGTAAAAATTTAGGTTGATTCATTAAGTTTTGTCAAAATTAAAAGACATGGCATACAAGAAGCACTTTCATAACGTATAATTACCTCAGTACAGGTGTGTTTTACTGGTTAAAAGAAACTCTATTTTTTTTATTCTCGTGTATTACTTATCTAGTGAATTCAAAAGGCCTTGTGATTTAAGTTTTATAGAGTGTTGTTTTTTTTAAATGGATGTTATTTTAAAATATAGCTATCTGACCAGGTGTGATATTTTTAATGAGTGTGTCTAAAGCAGGAGGTCTTGCTTTATAGTTTACCCATAATTAAACGAAAAATTTTATTCATTTCTTTAATTTTGTATCCCTTTTATATATTCCAAATTATAATAAGAATAGATATATTTCTGATATCAGGGTAAACAATTTCAGTGATTTTGTTGGCTGTTGTTACCTCAGTTAAAAATATAGTTATATAACCATGAAACCTATGTTGTTTTTATTTACGAATTTAGGTGAATTTGTTTTGTTAAAAAAAAAACACATGCCAAACAAGAAGCATCTTAATTAGGTTTTATTACCAACAGTACAGGTGTGTTTTTCAGAAAAAAAGATTTTTTTTTTAACAAGACTCGCGATCAGTCATTAAAATAAAATAATATGACTATCTCGATTTGGTAATTCTGAAAATCATGTAAGTATGTAAAAATTTGTTTTTATATATCTTTATTTTATTGTGGCTGTTGTCATGTCAGTTAAAAAGAAAGTTATTTAAACAGTTAAAATTAGAAAAAGTAGAAGTTATTTGGTGCAGTGTGGTTCAGACTGGTCGAGTATTGTTCAGACCTTTGGTCTAGTATGGTTCGGACTGAAAAAATAGGTCAAGTATTGGTCGAGTTCAGGTTAAGAATGGGTTAAGACTGTTTCAGACTAGTCGAGTAACAGTTCAGACTATTTTAAATGGCAAAGATAAGGGTCAAGTACAAATCAGTACAGTCGAGTATGGTTAAGATTGGGGTGGAGTAATGTCGAGTAAAATTCAGACCAATTCAGACTTGTCGAGTAAAAATCAGTACAGTCGAGTACAGATATAGGCCATTTCAGACTTTTACTGGTTTAAAGTGATAAGGGATGACATATACGGCTGCTGGATAACTAGTCATGTCTGTTTGGGTTACTAACCAAATGTTGTGAATAAAACAGAACTATAAACAATTAAGAAACAAGTTGGGGGTTTAGTTAGCTACAAAACCGGGTTTAAATCACAATTTTCTTCGGAAAATGTCTAAAGCCAAGTCAGGAGTATGACAGTTGTTTTCTATTCCTTTCGTTTCTGGATATAGCCTAAAGTTTGGTTTTGTCAGGTTTTATGACGTCCATCTATGTTAATGTACCTTGGTGTTCGGTATATTTGTTAAATATATTTTTACCATTGATAATTGAAAATTTATCTTGATTCTTTTTTCTTTCGTTGATCTTATTGATAAAGTAAGTCAATATAAACAGTATGTAATACTGATAGGAGGAATTCTGTTTACCTTATGTACAATGCATATCTAAAATGTATAAAATGCAGAAGAGATAATTAATAATTTCAATTAAAATATTGTCTAAGTAAGCATAGTTAGTAAGGTATTTCCATGGAAAGCAGGCTAAAATCGTGTGAATATGGTTCTGAAGATAAATTTGGTAAGATGTTCGTGTGTCCAAACCATATATTTATTTGATGTTGATAATAACAAACAGGAAAAATTAAATTTCCTATGTGCGTAATTTGCTAATCGGTTTAGATCCACCTACAATTAATAACTAATTATCCGTTTCAAGGAACGATGTTATATAATTCCTTGTTTTGTTTTGAATTATCGTGGCAAAAAGTTTAATTTTAGGGTTGAATGCATGCCCGTCACGTTAGGTAATTTTGTAAAACAACACATACTAAAGACGATTATTCTATTATGCAAAATTGTTTTGAAGAAGAAAAGTTTTCCAAAGACGCAGGATGCCAAAAATTAGAATACATTTTCGATCCATTTAGGGAGATGAGTTAAAACAACATCATAATGAAAGGGAAGATAATATATTTGATAAAGACAAAGATATTCACTTACCTTTACAATTAACACCGAAGTATCCCGCATCACATGTACATTTATAACCAGCATTAGTTATATTACAATATCCATGTATACAAGGACTAGCTGTACATGGTGTGACTGAAAGTAAAACATACAAATTGTGATTTTTTTTCTTTCAATTTAAATGGGCTTTGGAAATCATATATAACTATGCAGTAGTTCCTAATGCCCATACAAGGGTATTGGCCGATACATTAAGAATGTAATTGTTTTTATAACAACAGCTTTCAATGAAAAGTAAAACCATGCATATGTCATTTTTGAATCAATGATCAAAATCACCATAATTTCTATCGACAGACTATGTACAAATATCATTGCAGATTTTGAATATATACATTAATTATAAAGAAATAAAGAGATGTGATATGAATACCAATGCGACAACCACCAATAAAGACCAAAGACAAAAATGCAATTACTAGTCACATTACGATCTTCAACAATGAACAAATAGGGTACGAGGTTGAAGAGCATTGAGGACCCAACACCTAGAGGTTTCGTCAAATACAGCTAAGATTATCTATTTCTTGGGAGGAAAATCCTGAGTATTTCAACAAATTCAAAGTTTTGTAACCAGTTAATTTATAAATATGACTATATCCAAACTGCTGAGAAATTGAAAGATACTGTCTTTAAGATGAAGAAAACGTAGTCAATTTACGATGAGCACCTGGGTTTCTGACCCGTTCAAGAATCCCGAGGCTGTGGATGCCTCATCCTCTGTTTGCGCTAAATATGATGTAGTGTCAGCAGACAAAGCCTCAAACAGTGATTATGTATAAGCAAAAATCATTATTTGGAAAGTCCTCACAAAGAACTCGCAATTCACAACACTACTTGGAAACCCACACATACCCTTACATCATTCACGAAAGAGGAGATTTAAGGAAATCTATAATCCGTCCATTTCTTCTTCTGTGTCAATACCATACATGAACATTACAAAAATCGTTTTAAAGAACGATATATAGCCGAGTTGTCAAGATGTTTGACTCTTTCTTAAGTAATTTTTTACCACCGTTTTACACACGTAAAAGATGTCCATCAGAAATATTGTGGTAAGGTATATTCAACAAGCGCGGTCAACAATTTTCAACATAAGACAATGCCTGTACCAAGTCAGGAATATGACAGTTGCTATCCATTCATTCGTTTGATGTGTTTGAGCTTTTGATTTTGCCTTTTGATTACGGACTTTCCGTTTTGAATTTTCCTCGGAGTTCGGTATTTTTGTGATTTTACTTTTTTCAATATATCATGTCATATTCCCTAGGTAACATTATATAAAGGATGCTACCAAACATAGGACTGATTAGTCTTTTGTAGACGAAACACGCGTCTGGCATACAAAATTTTAAACTTGGTATCTATCATGAGTTTATTCATTACGAATACGTATTTTACCAGGAAGTGGTTTTGTGCATTTAACATCTTGAAAATTCATAAAACATACCAAATGTTAGACAGACATGACAGTTTAAATGAGTTGGTAGGCATCTTGTATCTTCTTGGCACGGATTAGTAGGCCAGCAGCTGTCTTTATCCTGAATGTACAACAAGGATATCATTATGTTTTACTTCTATTTTTATTGTATTAGTTATTTTAATAAGTGTTTACCATCATGGAAAAACAAAAACATACAAATATGTCAAGCCCATATATATGTCTATGTATTCTCTTTAAATTATACAGTGTATGCGAAGGGTCCAGTTTATTCAAAAAAGTTTAGTGTTTGACGGACATACTAATCTAAAAACAAAAAGATGTTATATGATTGTTAATGAGATTATCCTTGAAATCGTGAATTGTTCAGAATTTTATGAATTATATAACAGATTTTTTATTCATTTTTTGACTGAAAATATTGTAACCGAACCAAACTTTAAAATAACTATTAATAAGAGTTATAATGTCAACTGATATTCTATGTAATCTGGCCTTTCAGTTATATTTTTAGTACGATTATAGTACTCAGATTTAGAAATCAACCCATCAAAATACTTGATTTGGTGTTTCGAGCACACATATTGTACTTCAGGTACCGAATAAAGTTTCATGACTGAAAGGCCTGATAAAATTGTATCATATTACAATTTTGATATGCGATATAGAGGAAACAAGATCGAGTAAATCAAATTTTTTCAATGGTTCTTGCAAACATAAATTTATTCCATAAACCCGAAAATTGATTATTTCAATGACGTTGACGCATCTGTGTAGCAGCATTTATTACAAGTAGTGGATTTGTAAACGATTATCAACGTGCGTCCGTTTCCGAATCTACAACTTCTTATACATTTTCTAGTTTAAACCTTTCCAGGAAAATTGATTGTATATGATATTTTTCACTAAAAGCCAATTTCATGTATTAATGTGTAGTCGTGAGCCGTGATCGTATATTCGTTGGTTACTAATTATCAATGATACGGAGTTGGAACCTCGTACCCGAATGATTTTTTTTTTTCATTTTTTCTTCTCGTCGAAACAGTTTTGTCGTTCTATATTTTGTATTGCTTAATAACTATACCGCTTTATTTTTAAAATTGAATTATGTTGTATAGATAATTGATTTAGAAATGTCGAATGATAAACGTTTTATTCCACGGATTAACAAACCTTCCCCTATAAATCCCATTCCAAAAATATACATATATATTTATATAAAATAGCCATTATACATATTAGATATAATTGAAGAATTTCATTGTCAATGAGACAGCTACATACTTTGTGTGCATATATATCGACAAGAGTTATCAATGAAGTACTTTACCAATATATTTCATTAGTTATTATATATCAGCAATAGCAATCAAGTGGTATCATGCACGGACAGAAGACTTTTATGATTATTGGTTAAAACACTCATAAGTTCGAATCCCGAATTTATGGCGGATTTTTGAGGAGTAAACACTTTGTAGTTAAACAGTTATAATATAAGTTAATTTCGGATCACAATAGATTCTTGGAAAACAATAGCCGCCTGACATCAGAATCAGTTAATTTGGGTTAAATTCGTTGATTTGACGAAAACTGGATTTCGTATTTTAATTAGATTCACTGTCGAAACTAATAACATTTATTTTCCGAATGACTATGAACTTTAACATTGAGTATTAGTAGTAAACCAATGTTTAAATCTTGTAAATGCATATGAATTCTGCAAATAAGGAAATATGGGTCCAAACAAAAAAACACTGGAGTCGTTGACATGGTAAACCTCTCATTTTATGCATACATAATTCTTTATGCGAATTCTGACAAAGCCATGATAGGAAAAAGGAAATAAACGGTTAAAAACACTGGTTTATGTATAAGAGATATAAAAACTTGCTTAAATGTGGAATATTGAGTGACAAAATGTCATCAATATATCAGGGGCCGTATGCATAAAACATCTTAACTTAAGTGTTCCTGAAACTTAAATTTAATTTATTTAGAATTCCCTTAGTCAAGTAAAATTCAATAGGCGTATGCATAAAATTAAATAAGTCATCACTTTACTGAGGAATACTTAAATTGGAAACTATCTCTAATTGTCATACGATATATGTTAGATCAACGCAGGTACTCATTGGTGCAAAAGTTTGATTTGATTATTAACATTGATTGAACAATATATATAATTGTATAAACACGGTAGTAAGGTCACAATATCGATGAGCGTTTAGTACAGTGATTTTGTCATAGTTTGGTTAAGTTGGACATGATTGTGATCAGTGTTTTTAAAGACAAACAATGAGAGAATATAAACATTCGGATTGTTTGCTAAAAAAAAACATCTGCACATCAATCCAAGCTGGTAAGTATCTTTGTTTTTAGCTAGTATGTTAGTACATTAAAATTTGTATCATATAGTTAATAATTTGACCCATAATAATGCTTGCGTATGTCAAAATTTAAAAGATGTTATTCGTTTGTTATGCATAAAGAAAAGTGATTTGTTTACTGTTTGTTACATCACATATTTCGTTATGATATAAACCTGCCGTCAATTATTCCGAAACATAGCTACATTTGCACACAATTTAAGATTTACGAAAATTCGGTGTCATGGTTTGGTTCAGTAGTGTCATGTTTAGTTCATGTTCGACATTGTTCAGTTTTGTGATTCCTGTCGTGTATGATGGAAGAGTAATTTTCATAGTAATTTCACTTAAAGTTTATTAAAAAAATAAGTTTATAAACTGCTATCCATGTTGCTTAACCAAACCATACCAATTTCGGTATTTTTGTTATCCTGCGTTGATTTCTAAAAAGATAATAATTTCAAATTAAATCGTTTGACCCACAATAAAGATTCAAACATGTTATTTGCTTTTTATTTGCTCATTTGAAAAGAACTGAGGCAATGGTTCTGGGAAGTAATATAACTTATCCATGACCAACTTAACCAAACTATGACAAAATCACTGTACTAAATGCTCATCGATATGACGACGTTACTACCCGTGAGAAAGTGCTGATATGCATAAAACCACTTACGTTAAGATATTCAATCGTAGTACTACTTTATCGTAGGACATGTAGAAAAATCAGTCCGTTCGGAACAAATCTTTACGTAAGTAGCAGCCCATGGGTTTAATTGATGTTGGTGTGTAAAACAATTAACAAATACGTAACCAACTAAAATAACCAAACAAACTGGCGCATAAGAGAAAATGTTGTTTTAATGGGCGAGCATGGGGAAAAATTATTTTAAATGCAAAAATTCCCCCCAACTGTTACTAAAAGAGAAATGAAAGGGATTGAAAGGAAAAAAGATTGATTTATCGATGTTTGCTTAAAGTGCAGTGGCAATTATGTCATGCATGTTCAGGACGAGATCAAAGCAACAACATGAACAATAGATGAAATTGGTGGATCTTGTAATAGACGCTTTCCGGGAGAAAGGTCATGAAAATTTGGACTATCACTGAAAAATGAAGGTATATTGTATAGGAACAGACATTCGTCCTTGCAACAGCTCACCTATGGATCCCAAATAGTTATTGCAGGTGTTCTTAACGTACATAGTGTGTGGAACTCTCTCTACACGAGGAATCAGATTTAACGTCCACATTCTGATCGGTCGTGGTGGTTGTGTACTAATACATCCCGCACAGCCAAACGAACGTCCGACTTTGGCAAGGGTTTTACTGCCGGTCGGAAAGAGACCAATATTACCGTATTTCTTGTCGCCACTCGCTCTATGGGGGTGGAACAAAATACATATATATATATATATCAATATCATAAGTAGAAAAAATACCTTGAGGAGATATTCTTGAGAGATCCAAAAGAAGAGGGACAACTTATGCATGGCGTGATAAATGTAAAATATCAAAAGATTCCAATTATGCACTAGCAATTTATTCTTTATAGCAGACAAAACTTAAATCACACGAGGAGTCTCTGAAAGAAATCTCAACATTATCTTGTAGCAAACTATCCACCTTAATAATGGTATATGCTAGTAGAATCTTAATTTAAAAATAAATCCACGTCATCATACTTATAAAACAGATTATTCCATCTATAAGGCACCAACCATTCATCGATCATGGGTGATGCTGAATAGAAGGGCAATATGTTTATGTTCGAGAGATAACAATACATTTTTTAACTCTGACAATACAAGATAAAGATTTTTTATCATTTCGATTTAAAATAAACTTTTTTATCACTTCCCTTTTACAACAAAAACTCGAGGTTCTAAAGAGCCCGTGTAGCTCACCTTGGTCAATGTGCATATTAAACAAAGGACACTCTCCAACATTGTAGAACGAGAATAGAATTCATGACAAAAATCTCTGTTTTGTTGATCTTGTATTGCTAATCATATCGTCTGTTTAGCTTTTCTCTATAAGAATGAAGAGATATGGGATGATTGCCAATGAGACACCTATCCACCAAAAGTCAAATGAAGTGGATGTAAGCAATTAAAGGCAACCGTACGGCACTCACAATGAGATGGATTTTTGAAGATGTATCTTCTTTAGTTTTTGCTCAAAACACAAAAGAGGGTAAAACAAATCCTCATTTAAGGGCAATCACTATTATAAAGAGTGATTGTCTACTTACTACATTAGCAATGGTAATAACTCCAATAAGGAGTCGTCGGGCGAGTTCCTGCGTTTGTAGTAATTGTAGATCATGTCTTGCTAATCATTTTTGATTATTTAAATTTCTATCTATCTATTATAATTTATAATATAAGGCAGAAACGCAAAAAATGGTAAAAATCTTCATCAAAGGGCAATTACTCTAATAAGGAGTCGACTGACGATTTCGACCATGCCGACTAAGTATCTCTCTTTCTATTATAGTTTTCAAGATAATAGGTAAAAGTTAAAAACAATGGTACACTTTGTCAGTTAAGGGTGATGACTCCTAAAAGAAGTTGTCTGACAGTTTTGACCTATATGAACAATTGGCAGAGCTCAACATTTTGAACATTTCTGCCTTTGTAGATTTCCTCTATCTATAACGGTTTTCAAAATAATAGACGAAAATTGCATTTTACCCCTATGTTCTATTTTTAGCCATGTCCGCCATCTTGGT